ATGCATTTGTTACCTCTGCAGTCAAATGTTAAAACAAGCTTTCCAGTGGATTTCTGAAATCAAGCAGCTCTGATGAACAGTTCTATACTACATGGCCTGGCAGAGAAAAGTAACATGTATGAAAGTAAATACAAACAGTTTTGCAAGTCTTTTGCAAGATGCATTTTTTTCAGGTGGGATCATTCAGTTCTATCCAAATAGTCTCATAAATATTCCAAAATCTACCCTGATTTGAAGCGATGCAATGCAAGTGATGTTTATATGGCCACGCACTCTATATTTTCAGGAAGTTGATTTAATGAGCACCATTTTCACTGCAGCACATGCCGTCCTCTATTTTATATGCAGCCTCTTGACAGTCATCCCTTTCCTTATAAAACTTACTCATTCTCAAAGGATTTCATGGGACAAATGTTCAACTAGGAAAAACAAAGCAGCTTTAAAATGAGTGCCAGAAAATATCAATATGTAATACCATTTCTGTGCCCTTTGCATTGAATACCAGCATGTTTCCTGCTCGATTCAAAGTGTTGGCATTAACCTTTGGTACCAGGTTATCTTAAGGACCACTATCACCTGTGGAACCACGTTCCTGTGTTGAGATCTGCTTCCGAAGTCCTGCTCATGTCCTCACTGACAAAACCAGTTAGGTTGGCAAATGTGAGAGACAGGATCGTGAGAGTTATAAAACTCCGTTCCAGTTTATTTATGTTTGCCCCTTCACCAGGGAGCTCTAAAACATATCTAGTGTCTGCTGCCTTCCTCTAATGACCATAAATGACACATTTGAATTAGAACAGTTTTTCTCTTTGTGTGTGTGCATCTGTCTCATGCACCTTAACGTACCTTATAACACTCTATGCTGCTCTGTGTTGGCTAGACCCTTAAAAGCAACTTATGAAAACTACCAGTAAGATTACTACTGTGAATCACTGTCATCATCATGTGTATGCAGCAAAACTGAATGGTGTAAAACTGTCTGAGGTCTTTACTTAAAGACGTCTGAGCACATCTGATCTTCATCCCGCCCTCAAAACTGTTCTGAGAGCACCTTTCCCATGCATGGATTGTGATCCAGCAGAGAATCCACATAGAAACCTGCTAGACTGCCTTGTTGTGGAATGCAGTTTCCTTCACTCTACAACATTTTTACTTTGTATACTTAAATTTGTGTTTTCATGAAAACCACAACCCAAGTCTTCACTAGCTGGTATTTCTTTAATGCTCCCAATTGTCATAAATTTTTCCCAGCTACAGTAATGTTCAGTTTCTCTCCTTCTTTAAATTTTTATAACTTAGAGCTATAAAAAATTAAAATGAAATCCTTGGGGAGGATTATTTCGTAAGGAAAATAAGAGCAGACAGGTCGACATTCAAGCGAAACTGTCTTGTTAACTCTAGAAGAACTGCGCCCCCCACACCCACGCAAAGGAATTTACAATTTTAAAAGGCTCATGATCATGTTGTTAAAAGACAAATGCTAGAATGAAGATTTAATAGATGACAGGTTCAAATATCTTATCTTGTCTTAGCATCTGGTTGAATACACCCACTGACAGTACTGTCTTCCTTCAAATTCTGACACAACTCACCAAGCATGACTGTTTGAATAATGCCCAGTTGATTGAAGTGTATGAGGTTATCACTAATGCAACAGTAGCACTTCATAGAATCATAGAATAGTAATGATGGAAGAGGCCAGGGGGCCATCGGGTCAAACCCCCTGCTCAGTGCAGAACTCCAAGTTAAGCCATCCCTCTCCAATGGCTGTTCAGTTGCCATCTTGATTGCTTCTAGCATAAGAAAGCCCACAACCCACCTTGGTAATTGGTTCCATTGTCATATTGCTCTAAGGAAATCTTTCCAGCTATCTAGCCAGACTCTGACTTCCTGTACCTCGAGCCCGTTATTCCATGTCCTGCATCCTGGGATGATTGAGAAGATATCCTGTCCTTCCTCTTTGTGACAGCCTTTCAAGTACTCATAGAGTACTATCATATCTCCCCTCAGTATTCTCTTCTCAAGACTAAACATGCCCAGTTCTTTCAACCTCTCCTCCTAGGGCTTTGTTTACAGTCCCTGCATCATCCTTGTTGCCCTCCTCTGAACCCTTTCCAGCTTATCTACATCTTTCTTAAACTGTGGTGCCCAGAACTGGACACAGTACTCCAGGTGAGTCCTAACCAGTGCTAAGTAAAGGGGAAATAGCACTTCAAATGTTTTGGAAGTGATACTTCTATTAACGCAGCCTAAAATAGCATTTGCCCTTTAGACATCCGCATCTCATTGACTCATATTCAGCTTGTGATCTACAGCAATTCCAAGATCCTTCTCATTTGCCATATTGCTGAGCCAAGTATTCCCCACCCTGTACCAATGAATCCGGTCCTTTTTCCTAGATGCAGAACTTAGTATTTAACCCTACTGAATTTCATTCCATTGTTTTCAACCCAGCAGCCCAACCTATTGAGGTCACCTTGAATCTTCTTTCTGTCTTCCAGGGTATCAGTTATTCCACCCAGTTTTGTGTGATCTGCAAGTTTGATAATCATTCTCTGCACTTCCTCATCCAAATCAGTAGTAAAAATCTTGAAGCACTCGGCCTTGGACTGAACCCTACAGCACCCCACTCATTATCTCTACTCAGTCTGAGAATGTGCCATTGATGAGCATTCTGTGTCCAATTTAGTAGCCAATTTTGGAACCACCTATCAGTTTTTCTATCTAGTCCCATTTTTGCAATTTTGCTTATCAGGATATCCTGGGGCACTATGTTGAAAGCTTTGCTAAAGTCAAAGCAGATTATGTCCACAGTGTTCCCTCTGTCCATTTGGAAGGTTACCCAGTCAAAAACAAGATCGAAGTCTGGCAGGATTTATTTTTGATAAATCCATGCTGGCTTTTATTAAAACCTGCATTTTCTTTGAGGTGCTTGCAGACTGATTTTTTAAATAATTTGCTCCAGAATTTTTCCAGGGATTGATGTCAGACTAACTGGTCTGTAGTTCTCAGGTTCATCTTTTTTCTCTTTTTTGAAGATGGAGACAACATTAGCCCTTCACAAGTCGTCTGGCACTTTTCATGTTTTCCAGGATTTATCCAAGCTAATAGTGATTTAAGAGTTCTTCTTCTAGTTCTTTTATGACTTTGCAATGGAGTTCATTGGGCCCTGGAGATCTGAACATGTTTATTCCATCTAGATATCCCTTGACCATTTGTCTGTCAATCTTGGGTTGCCATCTCTCACTTTCAACTTGCACTTCCATTTTGTTACAGTTTTTCTTGTGGGAGAAGACTAAGACTGAAGACATTGTTTCTATCATGGTTTAGCATTATGTCAAAACAGCAAACTATCATTTACAGAAAAATGAAAGATTCTTAAAGTTTGGTTTGACGTCAGTTTGTTTCAAGCAATCAGAGCTAAGACTAACCACAGTTGGTCAATAAACTGCAGTTTATCAAAAAAGAAGCAAAAACATCCAAACTTCTCATGGTCACACTAGAATAGGAGAAGGAAAAGGAAAACATGTGAGCCTGAAGTTTACCTATGTAAACTTGTTTTTTTATATCAAGTATTTTAAAATATTCAGTGTTATTTTTATATGGTGCATTGTATGAAAGCAATTCTATAATTCATAATTTACTGAGATCTACTCTTGAAACACTTTAGGAAGCAATCTGACTAAAAACATTTCACCCTTTCATTCCTAATATAAATTTGTCTTTTCACCAGAAAATAATAATATGTATTTAATTTGTATATATACATTAGTAAGTAAACAATGACGGACAGACAGAATATGAATTCTGGGTGACTTCTCTTGAGGTGCTTGCACAGTCAAGGTTGAGGAGCAAAAGGCAGAAAGAGATAACCACAGGGAAAGCTCTGTTAACTGAGGACAGAATAACTTGTAATACTATAAGGAAGTGTATGGGCTACAAAACATATAGGGCAAGTCAAGCTTACATGCTGGCCAAAAATTTACTTTATTTATTTATTAGATTTATATCCTGCTTTTTTCCAACCAACTCAAAGTGGTTTACATCTTTCTCTTCCTGCTCTCAATCTTATTCCCACAACAACAACCCTGTGAGGCAGGTTGTGCTGAGAGTTTGTGACTGCCCCAAAGTCACCCAGTTGGCTCCATGGCTGAGTGGGGACTAGAACCCAGGTCACTCGAATCCCAGTCCTGCACTCTTTGCACTACACCACAGTGGCTCTCTGAAATTTTAAATTCTGAAATCTATGAGATCTGAAAGTTCTATACTGAAGTTCCAGAAGTTAGCCAAGGAAATGACTGAATAACTAGTCATCAGCTTGGATCATATTGTCATGTTCAACTTGATGGTGCTCCTCAGATCTATTCACTTGGATGATCTAAACCTAAACTTATCCATACTGTTTTCGGGTCAACTAGGGATACCCTTCCCAGAAATACTCTAGGTCAGTAATTCAAATGAATGTGGCTAACACAGCACAGAATGATGTATATTACAGCTTCTCACCAGTTGTTCATGCCATTTCACATCTTGGATCAGGTTGATAAAAGGAGTGGCAGTGAGAATTTTTTAGGATTAGAACTCCAGCCAAACATATGCACTTTTTAGTTCCATTGCTCTCAGTGGGAGATATTTAAAAGGATTTCATTCTGCCACTGAAATCTGCAGGAAATGCACCTAGGGTTGTATTCCGTAGCAATGACAGGGAAAAGCTGGTGGAATGGATATCTCCATCCCTGCTGCAGGTCCCAACAACCCATCTCTCCTCCAGATGGTTGGAGGAACCTCCAGGGTACATTTGGGATTCCCATGAGCAACTGAAAGGACAGTGACTTCCCACTGCATGAGCAGAAGTCTTGTTACATGAGGGAGAAATCTATTTTTGGTTGTTCCATACCTATTATACTTAATATATGTCAAGTTTTTTAATGAACTGCTGTACAGTTTCTTAAATCTTCCTATGGCGACACACATTGAGACAACTGGAAGATCCTTCTTACCCATTAGGTCTAAGGTCAGGCAATGGTCTATCCAGGGGAAGACGATCACTTAAGTAAGCATTGTAGCCGTAATACTGGAACTGCTTAAGGGCAATGCGCCTGTTCTCTGGGCTTAGGTCCTGGCCCCAATGTGCAAAGAGTGACGAATCTGTGAAAGCCTCTGCAGGATTTTCTTCTGGTTTCAAGGGTGCTTCTGTAAAACAAACAAATCATTCACAATTAGAACTTTTATTTACCCAAGGAAATAATTACCCTAAAGGACAAATTTCATCACTCAGTGCCTTTTTTACTTCTTGAAACATCAGTTCAAGCTGGAATAAAGGGCTGCCTGGGCTAGTTCCATAAACTCTGAAAGTCTTTGATGAAGAGGTAGGAGTCATTCAGGGGCCCCACTGCCTTCATTCCAGAAAGACAGATCTTGACTGCCCTGGGCCAACTTGTAACAAGAAATCTGGTTAAATGTGGTGGCTGCATTTTTTTTGGTATGCAGCTCCAACAGGAACATCTGGACTGCCACAGGTGCCCGCAAAGCTTCTGCACTTGTTTCTGCCTGCAGAGTTACTTGCTCTCATGACTTTCAGTAGCTGATTGGTTTCCAATAGTTGCTATGAAATGGGCTTCTTGTTATTTATTTATAGTTCTTTTGTGATTTTTTAAAAAGTCTCCTAGAAAATGATTCCAACTATAACACAATTATAAACTCAGATGCGACACCCTGTATGGGAAGGATAGAAGGTTTAAATACAGCAGTACGATAGCTTATTTACATTATTTCCTCAGCACTAACATTGTGCAACTTGTTTGCAATTAAAGAAACAAAGGAGAAAATACATGCTTCTGCCCCTTGTGTATGAGCTACAAAAAATGGCTGATGTATTTATAGAACAAAGAGATTTTTGAAATGCAAAAGCTGCCAGGCAGGGTGGCAGGTCATGGATAATCAATGGAACGTTATTCAGATGCAACACTTTACTGGGACTTGACATATCACAAGTTGAGCCCTTCCTCATAATTTATTACAAGAACCTCCAAGACCTTGAGTAGTATTTAATATAATTCAGCATCTCCAGAAGCAGCTTTTCCTTCTATAACAATATGAAAACAGGAAAAATATAGTAGAATGCTGCTGATACACTAAGTATATCCCAAATAGCAGGAACAGAAATTACCTTGAAATCTAACCCTCCCTGTACCTAGCTAGTGAGGTCACCCTTGACCCTCTGGACTCAGCAGGTTCTGGACACCATTGCCCAGGTGCGCTTCTCCTGCCCTGCAACGCAGCTAGACAGCCAATTTCATCTGGAGAGGGGGAGGCTGAGAAGCCACCACGGTATGTCCTACCCTGGCCGTACCAGACTTACAGGAGTCTTGTAACATCCATAGGATCTGCTTGCTTCTACTCCACCACTAGTGGTCAAGCAGGGTATCTAGAGTACCACTTGACAACCAGTCTAGAGGCTTCATGCTGCTCTCAGAGCTTTCCCTGGCTGTCTCCCACTTCAAATGCTCCCATTGTGCCACCGTCTGATTTTTCATTTGGGGCCGAAAACAGCCGTTCTGCCACTCCAGCTTGCAGTGACTTCGTGGTTTCTCTCTGAAGAATAGCCTGATTGAAAAGGAAACCACTGTGTATGGAGGACTGGAGCATCTTCTGCTACTTGTTTGCTATCTATACGTTAGGCCTTTTAGACCTCATACAGTACCATATTGCTGGAAACTACCCAGAGAGCTTTGGCTATGGGGTCGGATAGAAATGAATCAACAAGTGGTTTGATCTCTCCTGTAATGCATGCATATCTTGTAATGTGTGTAATGTGGTCTAAGGATGAACTGTGTAAAAAAAAAAAAAAAAAAAGTTCGGTGCTGAAGGCCATTGTGCTTACAAATGGCTTCTGTTTTGGGCAATGCCCAACCCTCCTGCTCACCCTCCGTGCTGGCTGGGACTGATGGGAGATGAAGTCCAAAACATCTGAAGGATACCAGGTTGAAGAAGGCTACAGTAGCAGTCTTCCAGTAATGGAACATTGGATTTAACCCCAAATCTGTAATTTTGGACTTGAAGACGAGTTTTCTTGTTCCTTACTGTGCTGAAACATAGTGCCGAATTCTGCTGCCTGTGCACTGCGATCCTGCTAAATGCCGGCCCAGACCCTCTTTCAGCACTCTGTGCGGACACATGCAAGTGCATGTGTGATGCAGACAAGGGTGTACAGCGATCGAGGGCACGTGTCAACCCGTGATGGCCTTGCGGTTTACGAGGCAGTTGAAACAGTGGCTTAGGACAGCCCTGCAGTAAATCTTCACTGCTCTTATTGCAGGACAGCACTGGGGCTTAGGCTGGTTTGCATTTCCAATCCTCTGTACCTGTCAGGTTGCAGCAAAAATCTGTTTATATAAATTGCCTGCTCAGAGCTCCTTTCAGACCAGGATCCAGCATTAAATTGCGGGTAAAAGCCCTGTGCATCAGCGACTGGTTGTTCTTCCAGTCACAGAATGGAACTAAATGAATAAATAACTAGGAAATGAAGACTCCTGCATCAGGCTCAACTAGCACATGCACATACTGCAACATTTTGTTGCAGGGTTTCATTTGTCTTTATCTAGTGTCAAATTGATGGGAACAAGGAAAAGAGACTTCTCAGCAAAAGCTCCAAGATTATAGAACTGCCACTTCAACAACTCATTAGGTCAGCTCTATTACCGTCTTCTAAGGAAATATTAAAGACCCTTTTTTCCATTCCAGTAAGCATTTGGTGGATCACAATGGATTTTTAATTGCTATCTTGTCTGCTGCTCATAGGTGATTTTGCTGTTACAATGTCTGTGCTGTTTTAAGATTTTTTTAGTTCACTGTTTGGTTCTGTATTGATGCATTTTTAATGAGTTTCATTTATTGTAGTTGCATATTTTAATTCTATGTTGTAAGGTACTCTGAGGAATCTTTATAGGTCTGCTGCAGGGTATGAATCTAAAATGAAAAAAGTCCATGCTATAGAAATGCAGAGGCTGAATGGCTGCAATTGATTTGCACATACTCCCATCTCTAACCTGGATCATGTAAATTCCTTCCATTCCATACCTGTGCTGCACCAGGGAATGGGAGGAGAACTGGCCCATCCATGCTAGCAATTGCTACTGTGTTGGTGCTTGGGCAGAAGTGCAAAAGAACGGCTCATCTCACATGGACCCGAATGTCCAGTCCTTCAAATTAGCCACAGCTGGTTGATTTGCCTGTTTGTTTGCCAGCAGACAAGCACAGACTTTCCCAGGCACATCAAAATTATGAAATACATCCAAACTGAAAATCTGTTTCATTTCTATGCCACCCAGTAACCAAAGCTTCTGGAGAGTTCACAAAAACTACATCTCAAAAATACATTTTTTTAAACCTTTAACATATGCATTAAAAAAATCAAAAGACCTTTAAAAGGGTTACTGTAAGACACCAAGATGTCATAAAAAGCCACCCAGAGAACCTTCAGGCTATGGGGCAGCATAGAAATGGAACTAACTAACTAACTAACTAACTAAGAAAGAAAGAAAGAAAGAAAGAAAGAATACTAAAAGCCCCATCATATATGGGGCGGCATAGAAATGGAAATAAATAAATAAATAAATAAATAAATAAATAAATAAATAAATAAATAAATAAGAACACTAAAAGTCCCATCATATATTCACAAATGACTGGAAGTGGAGGGAAGCATTAACCTGGCACCAAAAAGATGACAGTATTAGCGCTAGTTGGACCTCAGCAGAAAGGATTTGGCACAAGTCGGGCAGCTAAGAAGGCCTTCTCTCTTGTTCCCAACCTCCAAACTTTCCTCAGGGAAGGCACTGGAAGATGGTTCATTCAGCACCAAGGTCAAGCCCACTCTGCAGCTGGTCATGTCAGTAGATCAGAGGTAGGAAATCTCATGGCCTCCACATGTTCTGGACCACCATTCCTATTTATTTAGCATATGGTGATGGCACAATTAGCCAGGAGTCTACTAGGCTAGTACAGAGTAGATATTTGGCTGCCTGAAATTGCTAGTTCACTCTGTTCACACTCACACACTTATCCAGTGTGAGCATTGCTTACAGAAACAGAGTGAGTCAGAAGTGACCTCCCAGGCCATCTAGTCTGACCCCTGGCTCCAGACGGCTTCGCTCATGACATGCCCACCATGTGCATGTCCACCCTATCCTTGAACACCCTCACCAATGGGGCTTCAACCACCTCCCGTGGAAGCCATTCCATCCCTCGAGGTCCTAACTGTCAGGAAGTATTTCCTGGCATCCACCCTAAATCTTTTGATAGCTAGGGTTTAATCTGGAGAGCACCAAGTGTTTACCCCTGCTGTAGACTCTCAAAGTACAGATTTTCCCAATGTGCACATGCACAACCATGGACACATGCACTGTAATGTATAGAAACTGAAAATACAGAACCAGTTGCTAGTTAAGTAATAGCAAAGTAGTCTTCAGTAAAGACACATTTGCAAACTATGGTTTTTTATTAATGCAATTCTACACAATGTCCTTCTAAAAGATCTTCTGTAGAATCTTTTGATTATCTCTGCAGTCTCCAGAGACACACACAAAGCCACAAGCAACTCCTACACCATCACCCATAGGCCCATAAGGCAACTTCAGCTGGCAAGATAAAAATATATATGAGGAAAACAGCTTATGTAATGACATTCTCTACCATCCGGGATCGTAACTCCCGACTTATGTCAAGAAGCTTGTCCTTTTATCCTTATTTTTAACATAAATTGAGAAGATTAAGCTGTTGGCTTCCTCTGCAATGCCTTTTCTCCTCTTTCCCCCACCAAAACTCCGACAAGAGACTAATGAAAGACTGGTAGCTTGTGCTGGCTTTCCATCACCCCAGAGATGTAGCGCTTCTTAATCTGTCAAAGCACTTGGCTACTTGGATCAGCTCCATTTCACTTCATGGATAAAAGTCAAGCCAAGCCCTCATTCAGATGAGAGAGAAAATGTTCTGACAATCCTACTGACAGCCGGATCAAAATTAATACTTCTACTAATAGCAGTAATAATAAATCAAGCTACTGAGGAAGGTGCCTGAAAAGCCTGCTATTCTGAAAATGGAGCATGTTAAATTTCCCAGCAACTTGCATTTCGTGTAAGATAACTGCTTGCATAATAACAGGTCTGTTATTTATTTTTCCACAGCCACACTGGTTTTAAGGTATCTACCGACTTGTAGACACGCTTTGTCTACAAGTTAATATGCTTTGGTTTAGTGCGGTCCTGGTTTCCACTGCTTACAGTCTATCACGATGGGGATGACTCCTCCTCCTAGTTATTTTTGCCATAGGTTGCAACATCATTTGAACCATGCATGCAAGATGTGCAATTTTAGAATGAGTGAGCAACTGCAGAGCTGAAGGATGATGGTGTGGTTTTCACTATATTACTCTCCACCCAACCCTCTTTCCTTCTCATCCCTGGTGAGAATGACACATTCTTAGCTACCAATTCTCCTACAGTACTTCTATGTTATTTCTCATCAAGTGGAGCCCATACTTTAAGATGCCACACCAAAAAACTGGAGTATGTCCAGAGCAGATTCTTTAAGATAGTGAGGGATCTGGAAACCAAGTTCTGCGAAGAATGTTTCAAAGGACTGAGTAGGTTTAGCCTGGAGAGGAAATCATGAAGACACAAGATTGGGAATGGGCAAACAAAGTGAAGCTTGAGCTCACTAAAATGGGACCAAGATCAGCTCACTGCTAGCCTCATGGTTAAAATCATTGGGTGAGACCAGGAAAACTAGAAAATGAACAGCTATTGAAGGTGAATGTTGTGGAAACAATTCCCAAGTATGTAGAAATTTGCAAAATTGTGCAAATTTTCCTCACAAACTGACCTGAGGATGCAGAAATTTCTGCATTTATCAAGTAGACATTTTCTAAATGTGAAACAAATTCAGGACGTTGGGAACATTTTCAGAGAACATTTTCCTCTTTGGGCATGTGAACAGGGTTTTTTCTGAGTGATTTTTGAAATGAAATGAAATTTTCATACAACCCGAGACACAGTAGAAGTTTCGAAATGCCCCAAGGACTGCCATACAGCAAATGGAGCAGACTTTGTTTCTCCAAAGGACAGGATAAACCAATGGCTGGAAATTTCAGGGAAGAAGATTATGGGAAACACTGTATAATGGTATGAGCACTTCAACAATAATAATTATAATAAAACCACTCAGGAGGCACTGGGTTCTCTTCCATTGGAGACACCCCTACAACTCTGATTCTATGCTGAGACTTTGAATTTGTAAAGCTTAGGAAGTATAATAAGCAACACTAAATTCCTTTTCTTTGTCCAGGAATATATTAAAAGAACGATGACAGCAACAAGATACAATTTCCATACGTTTCCATAACACATTACACTGAAACAAAAAAAGCATGTTTTTTGTCAAAATAATAACTTTCAGGATAACACCAAATCTGGTCTTCAATAGTTTCTCAGAAGGCCATGTTGTCTTTCCCCTGATCACCTCTCACTGAATTTCACTGCTTTTCTGCAGTCTCTCCCACCCCTTTTCCAACAGGCTGAAATGCTTTCTCTAATGCTATAACGTGCTGGCATTTTTTGGAATTCTGTCCCTGTTCCTTTTGTTTCCAGACCTGTCCAACAGTAGAATGTGGCCCTCAAAAGCTTCTCCAAAATGAAATCCAGACCTCCGAATGTATGCGACTCTATACCTCGTGGTAGATCATTGCATGGGCTCAGACACAGAAAACATTAGATAAAGTAATAGTTCTTCTTGGATGTAAAATGCACTCATTTGTTCTCTGGTAGTGACACTTGAGATCAATAAGGGGGCTAAAACAGCTGCCAGAAATGCAATGGAAGATGCTATATTTTATTCTTAATTCCTTTGGTACGAAACTCTTTGAAAAGCTTTTGATCCACTCTAAAAAAGATCTACTGACATTTTCAGAAGCATGGATTTAGTGAAGTTTGTCCATGAGTACTGAGAAGTTGAGCATATATCATTATTTACTTTGACGTAAAAACTATTTACATTGGAAAAGAGTTTACTCAAAATTCATTCAATATCTCTACAGAAAGAATTAATTATTAGAAAAGCTACCTGGTTATTTCCCAGGAAAATGTAGTGAATGTCATTTTTTTCTGTATACAAAATAACCTTTAGTAGGGCCTCCTTCTGATCTTTGTCCGATACCCTTTTCAACCAATTCAAGGCAAAGAAATTCTACTGAACAAAAACCAGAAAGATAGCCTTCAAAGGCTAAAAGTAACCGTGAGCCAATTGTAAAGTTAGAAAATGACATTTCAGAAGGTGCACAGCTAGATAGATCCCTTCCATCCCATTAATGACATATCTAAAGAGAGGCTGTATTAAATTGAAGGAGTACAACATGGCCTGTCTCTGGAAATTTATACACATTTCTTCATCACTTTTTATGGAAGATGGTTAACTAAGGTAAGCACTGCTGTGAACATCTTGTACAAATGGCACAGTGGTTAAAGCAGCTTACCCAGGGTAAGTTTCACCTTCGGTTTCTTTTGCAAGAACCTCACAAGGAGAAGAACAAGCTGAAGTAGAACCGATTTACTGTTTGGTTCAGTCTGTTTAATCGTAAAGATATTCAAATTCATCGGAAACCCTATGGTAGGAAAGTTAATGTATGAAAATTGTATGAAAAAGTTGAGTTTCCTGTTCCCAGTCAAGCCCAAGGAAAACGTCCCAAATGAAGTGCACTTTTCCACGGTTCTTAGAGAGATGGGGCAGGGGGTGTCTATTAGGAATGATCTTGAAAACAGACACCTAAAATGGGCACTTGAATTCATAGCAGAGGTTTCCACGCACACCAACAGACCACAGTCTTTGGGTACAGCAAGCGCTTGCTCTGGAAGAAGCACATTGTACCATGCAGTCTTGAACGTCTTTCAAAAAATGGTGCAAGCAAATTGCTCCAGTTGTTTAGAGGCCTGAAATGCATTAATTCCCTCACTCTCTGTGAACAGACTGCTACATGTAGCCAAGGCAGGAGGCAACTGGGTGACTCATGGCCCGCTGACTGCAATGCAGTTCCCAAGATGAGCAGACTGCAAATTCCTGAACGGACTAGGAACTGTGATAGAGAAAAGGAAAGGATGGTCACACATCGCTATAGTTGATGCTTCAGCAACTCCGTCAATCAAAGCAAGGTTTCCATCAGCATTCTCATTTCATCTCATCTTAAAAGAATACACAAAAGCAAAATACACTGTAAAATCATGTCTTGACCACATATATGAAACATAGAGCCAAATGGAAAGATGGGAAAATGTAATTTATTTAAATCCAGTTTCAATGTTATGTAAAGCCTGGTTTTTTAAATGTTCAGTAATATAAGTTTCGACTGCACTGAGTTGCAGAATTATCACTTATGGGAATGTAGGTTTATTTAGTCACTTATTTTAAGTTTTCTATGCCACCTTTCTGTTCCATTTGGGTAGGCTTAAAATAGGAAATTAAATATATACTATGTATAATTTGCTTTGCTGATAAGATTATGTTTCTTACAATAAATTTAAAAGTATTGCTTATTCTGTTTTGAATTCTAATGATCATTGCATGAACAAAATGAATTATACAAAATATAGTTTATGTTCCAAAAGCACCCTGGGGCCCTCCTGGTGTTTTGGACTACAACTCCAAGCATTCCTGATCATTGGCCATGCTGATGGGAACGTGCAGATAGGAGCTCAAATCCAAAACATTTGGAGGGCACCAGGTTGGGGAACTCACTCCTAAACCTACAAAGCAACTTTAGATCTGTAAAGAGTAGTAAACAAAAACAAAAAGAAAATTGAATACTTTTCCCCAAAATTATTTTTTTTCTAGAAAAAAGGAAAAATGTTTATTCCCATGGCTTCAAAATTTCTAGAAATTTGGCAACTCTAGGGGAGAAGTCGAGAAGCTGCCAGAGGACAGACATCAGTCACTCACCTTTGAGTGCTTCTTCTGTACTCCTCAAAGCAGTTTTCAAGTATTCATGGTCTATGCCCAGATGATTTTCAGGGCAAGGAGCTGATTAATCATGCACTAGTAGAACTATTTTCTTCCAAGTAATTGAGGGTTGTTTTGGTTGGGCTGGGTTTGTTTGGTTGGTTAGTTGTTGGGCTTTTTTTTTTTTTTGGGTGGGGGGGGTATCCTCACAGACTTCCTACCATGAGAAATACACATCTGATCATGCTGGTAAGAACCAGCTCTCTTGGATCCATTTTATGTATGCATGTACGTATTATATTTATAACATGCCTTCTTCTCTGGAAGGAACCTACACAATCATGTTCCTCTCCATTTTATCCTCACAACAGCCTTGTGAGGTTGGTATGATTGCACATCACTGATTGGCCCCATGAGCTTCACAGCTGTGTGGGGACCAGAACCCAGACCTCCCAAGCCCCAGTTCAGCACTCTGCCTAGTTCTCGCTAGTTCCAGGGATGGAGGGATTTGGTTAAATACATTCCACTGGTGTTTGCGGAACTATCGGGCATCTTCTGTTCTGTCTTTCATTTATTTATGGCATCAGGTTTTTTAGCAGAATTTTGTTCTACTCATGTTAATTTGCATTACTGCTAATATGTGCTTGAACAAATGCACTAATCTGATTTAGTTAATACACTTAGCACTAATGCAAAATTGAAAAACTGTTCCACAAGTCTGCAGAAGCTACTGACTCGGAAGAACCTGGCCTGCGGCAGAATCCACAGGTCAGATTCAGAAAACTGAAACTTGTTTGAATTCACTGCAAATCTTAGATTTTTCCAACATCTAGAGCAAGGGTCCATGTAGGTCAGCACCCTGTTTCACAAGGGACATGAAGGCAAAAGCCTTCTCCCAGCTGGTTGTCCCCAGCATCTAGTTTGCAGAAATATGCTGGCTTAGTATGAGACTACGGTCAGAAATATACCGCCATCTGCCTAACACTGATGTCTGCATAGTCCCCAGTTGCGACATCTGCTCAAACTCTTGAGTGAGTGTCTGCAGCATTTTTTCTCAACCTAGTGCCCTCTAAAGCCTTTGGATCACAGCTTCCAACATTCCTGACCACTGGTCATGCTGGATGGAAACTGGGAAAGGTGGGTCTACATCCTTATTCTTTGTTATGAGCCAAAAAATGTACTCACAGTTAGCTTGGTTTTAAAAGAAGCTCATCCTATCAGATGCAACTTGTGCCAGTAAAGTTCCAGTAGGAAAAGTGCACAGTCACAGAAGATGGATGTATGTTTGCGTCACTGTTAGCAACCATGCCCTTCTTGGGGTTCATACTTTCCTGGTGTTATCTGTAGTTCCTAATTGTAAGACAGGCACAAGGTGGGTGTTTTGGAATGTGAGCTGGAACCTCCAAATCAAGAGATGGGCTGGGAATACAATTGCAATTTTCTGTACAGACAGAAATACAGCCCTGTTGACAGGGAAATTTCTGTCTACCCTGATCAGGATAGCACTGGCGTGTACAGAATTTCTGTCCGTTGCAACAGTTTTCCCTAAAAGAACAAATCCTTACTGTTTTTCCAGAATGGCAAAGTATATGGAATTCCTATACATGTATGCCTGGAACAAAGTCCACACTCCTATCACAATCCTTCAAGAAGTTGTGATATCAAAAACAGGCCCCATGACAATCAGTTTTGTGTGGTTTTCTCTCCTAGCTGTAGGATGTTGTCAAGATGCTTCACACAGAGTACTGCACAGAGAGGTCACTGGAAAAAAAGGTAAAAATAACCTCTAAATGATACACACTTTAACACTGCAGTTTCCAAAAGCTGCCTTTTTGGTTACATAGTTTGGGACTTCTTCCTGTGAAACTTTGGATTCTGTGATGCTTGGCTTGTTAAAAAAGTTGTAGATAAAATGTTGAAAAACAACACTGCATAAGGAAGTTCAAAACCTCACAAAGCTCTTGGTTGTGCGTGCTGTATAAACACTGCCCTGTTAGCATTTTTTCTCAGTAATTCTTCTTATTTATTTGCTTAAACTGCACAGGGTATCACTTTTCTCGGCGTATATTACATTGGCTAAATTGCTCCATCATGTTGATGTGTACTTCATTATTTCTCTATAATAAGAGCTAGAATTTCAGTTTGAATATTCATCATATGGAAACAATCTCTTTAAATATTACAAATGCTATTCCTAAAATGGCTGCTATAAAGCTTTAACATAAAGTGGCAAGAGAGGGCCTGAAAGCAAACAGCAAAACAGAAAGGCCCATAAAGAGACTTAAGAATTATGGGTAATGTCGCTGAGCTATAGTAATTAGATAAAATCATAGGATGAAATTACTTTATGATGGTGTACAGGTCTAGAAATACCATATTTATAGTTCTTTTGCCACCTTCAAATTTCCGTCTCCCTTCAGGTTGTCGCCTCATGAGAATAATGACAATGACATGAGCAGAGTTTTCAACATAAAAGTAGGGTTGGGGAAGAAAATTAGTTTGCCTTCTTTCCTACCACTTTTGCAAGAAAGGATTAGGCCATCTCCACCCCTCTCCTAGAAAACCGGCCTCCTTCCAAAGAGGAAGCATCACATGTGGGATTCTAAATATAACAAGACTGTGCCAAAGGGTCTCTCCTTCAATTTTGCAGATCAAAGACAGCGATTTGGAGCAGACAGCAGCAACCCTTGGTTGTGATGCTTACATCCAGAGACTCAGGTTGCAAAGCTTCCATGTGTCCTACTTTACAGAGGTAAAGGGCTGTCAAGGGACAGTCCTCTCTTTGAAAGGTTGACCAGTCCAAGCTCATTAAAGAGGAAGCGCTGTAAGAAGGAAGAGCAGGAGGGCACCTGACATTGCCCATCAGCAGGAAGTACCCACAGCAGACTGAGCCAGGGCATGTCACCTGGCCACAGTTTTCCCGATGCGGCAGGATGCAATGTGTAACTATTCAGCTTGTACTCATTCTTTCTAAATCTGGACAAAGCCATATAAATAGGATATGGAAATCTTTCCCCTCTTCCACCATTTGGGGTGATGTATTTCCTTTTGGAGAGGATGTGCAAGTAAGCACCCTACATTTCATTTCAGATATAAAGCTCTTTGTTTATTAGATATATTTCACCTTTCAATGCACAGAGGGCAACAGTGTAGACTCACAATAATCCTATGAGATAGGCTGTTTCTAAAAGAAATGGCTGCTTGCTAGACCTAACTTAGCTTCTGTTGCTGGGGTGTGAGTCAAAGTCCTATAGCAGGCCTGGAAGTTGTGCAATGTTTTGTGCGTTCCACTTTGGCTACTGCTTACACAGTAGTCACACTTCTTGTGTGATATGCTGAACAACTGCTTTGGACCCACTATGCACCCAACTGCACACCTGCTTTGCACAATTGTGCATCCAGTTGTACAACTGGTTGCATCAGCATAATGAGCAAGGAGTGGCAAAACAGGAAAGATTCAGCTGAGCTCTGTGAGTGCGATTTGAATTTGCAGAGGTACAGCACTGGGTTCTGCTCACAATGTAGAGTGCACATAAACAAGCAAAATCCAAGAAATTTTAAGGTGAATAATTCTAGGAATCACCACAAGGTGAAAAGTGGACAGAATGGTAATTAAGACTTTGCTGCCACGAAGGTCTTAGTGGTAAATGAGGCTAACTTTAGTCACCCATTCTTAAAGCAGGAGGCTTTTGGGAAGAGGTGTGCGTCGTAGTTTGGTGTATGGTATTGATAGATGTATTTATTTTTGGGAATGATATTGATAGCCAAGTTCAGCTCCTTTAGAAAGAACACCTGGGTACAAATGCAGAAAAAGATATTAAATAAAATGAGGCAAATGGCTAAGATACTGACGTGGCAAGGCTGTAAAGGTATTTTCCACCTAAGCAGGAGATGAAGCATAGGTTTCCCTTACTGATACCTAGCACCCATTCTCAGTATATACTCTAGCATTCTCAGTAACGTATGCATTAATTTAGCCAATGCAAACTCTTTCCAAAATATGGAATATATGGAAACAATGTGTTGCCCTACAACTCCCATCATTCCCAGTCATTGTGCCTACTGGCAATGATGGGGTTTGTAGGCCAATGCATCAGTGAGTCACTAATGCCTCTTCCATGAAATATCTCTGGTTTGGGTGAAATTCCAAAGATATGCAGAGCACGAGACTTTTCACCAGGCAGAGCTGCCTAAATGCTCTTCTTGGGTACAATCCTGTGCATGTTCAGACAGAAAAGAGGCCTATTCATTGCTAGTCATTCACTTCATTGTTAAAGTGCATTTTACATTTCTACCTAGTATTAAATTCTGGCATAAACATATGTCTACATCTTGCTAGTCCAATTACCCATTTAGCACAAAATCTGCTTCTGCATTCAAAAGAATAAGAAAAGAATGTATGTTCCTAATATTTACACATTATGAATTACACACTTTATAAATCTGCATTGCTAGTTTATGAGATTCTTGAAAAGTTACAGGAAGAATGCAAACCATCACTGAACATGTCACAGACAGTCAAGGGAGAAAAAAAAATTCATTAAAATTCATGTAAACTATTTGGATCTACTGAATGCTGTATCATTTTATGCTTTCCATCAACCATGTAAATATATTAAAATTCATTTTATAAATGAAAAAATGTGTTTCATGAATAGAAATGTATGTATACAGTTACCTAGAATTCAACATTATCTTGGAAGTTCAATCTTACTATAGGAAACAGAGTTTAGTCCCAGGTAAGTGGGCATATAGCAGAGTATTTAATGCAGCCCAAACCCAGTGAGTCCTATCACTGGCACAACAGGAAGCTACTGTTTCCTAAAGCAACCAGAAATAAGATAAAACACTCTTTTCTGGAATGGAACAGGTCAGCCAAGTTCACAGAAAGGCACTTGGCTGACCTGTACTGCTACAGAAATAGAAGAATGTTGTTCTTGCTTCTGAAACTGCTTTAGCAGGGGTTATTTTCCTTCTGTGTCAGTATACGGTCCTATCTGATCCTAATAAACAGAGGCTGGATACTGATAGCCAGAGATAAAGGGTGTGGCTCAGTGGCAGAGTACATGGTTTGCATGCAAAAAAACTGCCCCCATATTAACTCCCTGGCATCTCCAGGCCAGAAAAA